CCTCCTCCTCTTCACCATCATCATCATCATCATTTTCATTATCCTCCTCCTCCTCCTCCTCCTCCTCCTCTTCACCATCATCATCATCTTCATCATCTTCATTATCCTCATCATCATTTGCTTTCTACACTCGCCAAGGAACGGAATCCGGGACGATTTTGAGGCTAATCTCTCGCATCTGCCTGTGACGAGAGAAACAACTGAGCTGTACTTTCTAAAGTCGATGGAAAGTTTATGTGCTTGGCAATTGCTGCCTTCGAGTTTTTTTTTTCTTTTCTTTCTTTCCTTTTTTACTCTGGTTTTCTTATTTTTTAATCTTTATTCTATTCTTTTCTTCTTCTTCTTCTTTTTCTTCTTCTTCTTCTTTTTCTTCTTCTTCTTCTTCTTCTTTTTCTTCTTCTTCTTCATCTTCTTCTTCTTCATCTACTTCTTTTTCTTCTTCTTCTTCTTCTTTATGTTTTTTCTCTCTTTTTTATCTTAATTCTATATATTTTTTTTATTGTTATTATCATCATCATCATTATCATTATTATTATTGTTATCATTTGCTTATTATCATTATTTAATTTTTTCAATTTTTTTGTCTTTATTCCATTTTTTTCTTCTTCCTTTTTTTGTTCTTTTTCCTCTTCTTCTTTTGGAAGCAAATTACTGGAATTTCTTGCTGATATTCAAACGAGTTGTGTGTGTTTTTTTTTTTTTTTTTTTTTTTTTTGAATCATTTCTAAAACTGGATTTGTATTTTGCTTTTGTTTATATTCTTTACGAGCATCCGGGTGGCTTCCTATGGATTTTTTTTTTTTTTTTTTGGGGGGGGGGTGAGGGAGGAGGTATAGGATATATATATATATTGGGGTTTATGTTTGTGTTTAGGTTGATTTGTGTGTGTGTGTGTGTGTTTGTGTGTGTGTGTGTATGTGTATGTGTGTGTTTGTGTGTGTGTATGTGTGTGTGTGTTTGTGTGTGTGTGTGTGTATGTGTGTGTGTGTGTGTGAACCCAAGGACTGTACATGTACTTACTTACATATAACCCCTAGAAGCGTGCTTATACGTACATGTACACCTTAGTAGCGTGCGTATGCGTACATATAACCCCTTAAAGCGTGCGTAAGCGAATGCGAATCCCCGAAGCGACGGCGCCCGAGGCCAAGCGTCCTCCTCGCCCCGACGTCCGTCATCAAAGGCCCTGACGCAAGCGGTCCGGTTTTGTCATCGTAAAAGCCTCTTCCTTCCTCGCTTTTCCTTTCTCTCTCCTCGCCCGACGCTCGCTTTCTGCTCGTTAGTATTCGGGGCTTCCTTCGAGCTTCTTTTGCTGTGGCTTCGTTGCTGGTGGCTTGCATGCGGATTTCGTTTTTGTGTGTGTGTGTGTGTGTTTGTTTGTTTGTTGTTGTTGTTGTTTGATGGTTTTACTTTGGGAGGTTTTGTTTCGTTTGCTAGGTGATTGTTTTTGTTGTTGCTGAAGTTGTTGTTGTTTGTTTTTGTTTTGGTGTTTCTAGTGTTTGTTGGTGGTGGCGGTGGTGTTGTTGATAATGATGGTGATGAAGTTTGCTGTTGTTGGTGATGTTGTTGTTCTCGTTGTTTAAGTTGTTATTGTTGCTGGTGATGATAATAATGTTGTTGAAGTTGGTATTGCTGGTGACGGAGGTTGTGGCAGGGGTGTTGCAACTGTTGTCGTTGCTTCTCGTGTTGATGTTGCTGTTTCTGTACTGTCGTTTTTGAGTGTCTACTTTTTCCTCCCTCCCTCCCTCCATCCATCCCTCCCTCCCTCTTTCCCCCCACCTTCCCTCCCTCCCTCCCTCTAGCGGATCATTTAGTACTGCGTAGGGCCTGAGGCGTCGCCCCGGGTGACGGACAGAAGACGGGGAGGGAAGGAGGAAGGGAATGAGGGAGGGAGGGAGGGGATGAGGGAGGAAGGGAGGGGATGAGGGAGGGAAGGAGGAAGGGAAGGAGGGAGGGAGGGAGGGAGGGGATGAGGGAGGGAGGGAGGGAGGAAGGGAAGGGAGGGAATGAGGGAGGGAGGGAAGGAAGGAAGGGAGTGAGAGAGGAAGGGAGGGAAGGGAGGGGATGAGGGAGGGAGGGAGGGAGGGAGGTAGAGAAAGGGAAATAGCGGGAGGGAAGGAGATATGGAAGAAGGAAGGGAATTAGGGAAGGAGGGAGGAAGCGAGAGGGAGGGACGGAGGGAAGGGGAAAGGGGAGGGAGGGAAGGAAGGAGGAGGAGGATGTAACGAGAGCGAAGGAGGGAGGAAAGGAGAGGAAAAGAAGCGGAAGTGAGGGAGGGAGAGAAGGGGAAAGGAGACGAAGGAAAACGAAAGAAGAGGAAGGAAGGGAGAAAGGAGAAAGGGAGCAGAAGCGAAATGGAGAAAGAGAAGAAAGCGAAAGTGAAGGATATAAATAAAAAAAGAACGAATGAAGATGAAAGGATCAAAAACGAGAAAAGAGGAAAGGAAGCGTTACACAAGGAGAGAGAGGAAAGAGGAGAGAAGAAAGAGGAAAAAAGAAAGAGGAGAGAGAAAAGAGGAGAGAGGAGAGAGGAAAGAGGAGGAGGAACTTGAGGACGATGTCAACTTACGGAAGTGTGATTTTGCAACGTCGCGGTGGCACGGAAGGCGGCGGTGGTGGCGACGACGTGCCCGTGAGATACTGGACGCCATCACTTTTACTTCGGCGGTTGAGTTAATGGGCGGAGGAGAAAGACGGATACAGGCGGAGGCGGTGACGGCGAGGAGGGAGGAGGTTTTAAAAAGGTGTTGATTCTTGAGGGGGTTTTCAGGTTTTCTCTGTAATGCCGTCTCTCTGAATTTGTTTTTTCTTTGTTTCTTTCTCTCATTTTCTCTCTTTTTTTTTCTCTCTCTCTTTTTCTTTCTCTCTTTCTATATTTTTCTCTCTCTTTCTATTTCATTCTCTCTATATATATATCTTTCTCTCTATTTCGATATCTTTCTTTCTCTTTCTATATCTTTCTTTCGCTATTTTTCTCTCTTTCTCTTTCGATATCTCTCTGCCACTTCATTTGTTTTTCTCTTACTGTTTCTCTTTATCTCTGTCTCTCTGTATGTTTTCCTCTTTCTATTTCTCTTCTTTTCTTTCTGTTTCTTTTTCTTTTCCTTTTATCTCTTTCTCTATCTTTCTCTCTCTCTCTCTCTCTTTCCTTCTCTCTCTCTCTCTCTCTCTCTCTCTCTCTCTCTCTCTCTCTCCTCTCTCTCTCTCTCTCTCTCTCTCTCTCTCTCTCTCTCTCTCTCTCTCTCCTCTCTCTCTCTCTCTCTCTCTCTCTCTCTCTCTCTCTCTCTCTATCCTTCTCTCTCTCTCTCTCTCTCTCTCTCTCTCTCTCTCTCTCTCTCTCTCTCTCCTCTCTCTCTCTCTCTCTCTCTCCCTCTCTCTCTCTCTCTCTCTCTCTCTCTCTCTCTCTCTCTCTCTCTCTATCCTTCTCTTTCTTTGCTTATTTCGTTCTCCTTTCCTCTCATCTTACCTTTTTTTCACCAATGGAAGTAAAGCTTCACCGACAAACACTTCCATTACTCCACTTACCTCATATATCACAAGATTCCTGAAAACAAACACATTCTGCATTCCTCCCATTTCTTTTTCTTTTCTTTTTTTCTCCGCCAGACAGCACGTGTGGTTTTCGCCAAAGAGAAAACAAGCGTGGGCGGAAAATTTTCAGGAAAACAGTCCAATTTCAGTTCCTAATTTGATCAGCTAATAATTCAGGGCTGTTGCTGTCGGTCGAAGCTGGTGTAATTAACAGGTGGTCTTCAAAGCATGGCTGTCGCTTTCAGTTGATGGCACTTCGGGGGAATAACCTGCAGCGTAACGGGTATTGGTGTATATATAGGTGCTTGTTTATGTGTGTGTGCGTGTGCGTGTTTGTGTGTGTGTGTTTGTGCTTGTTTGTGTGTGTGTGTGTTTGTGCTTGTTTGTGTGTGTGTGTGAGTGTGTGCGTGTGTGTGTGTTTGTGTGTGTTTGTGTGTGTGTTTGTGTGTGTGTGTGTTTGTGCTTGTGTGTGAGTGTATGTGTGTATGTGTGTGTGTGTGTGTGTTTTCCTTATGTTTTTCTCTTTTGTGCATGTGTGTTTTTATCAATTTTCAGTCTGCGTCTATGCCTTTTACTTCTTATGCACGCGTGGTTTCAATTTTTCCTACGTGCGTGTATGTGCATCGCATTTCCAAATCTCAACAAACTTCCTTTTATTCAACAAACCGTCTGCAGAGAACCACCGAATGTTTTATAATGAACCTTTCCATAAAGAGCATTTTATTGAATGTTCTCCAGAGACCCTCGTCCATAAAGATAATTCCAGAAATTCCTTAAGAGCTTATTAGCGACGACGTAAAGAAAACGGCCGGACGAGGTTACAAAAGTCAAATCAAAGGAGACATTTAGAAATATTTACTTTTTAAAGACATATCATCAGGTAATGGACAAATGACAGTGATGTTCAGATGTGCGAGTTCAGTGATCGTGGACAAATGTCTCTGGAGAAAGGAGAAAGATCTTATATCTGTTATATCTGTGATTTAGTATATACGTGTGTTTCTTTGAGGCTAAACCCAAGATCATATATTCATTATTTTTATCCAATGTGATTTAGTATGGAAGTGTGTTTCATTGAGGCTAAAGTTATCTTATATTTAGTATCTCTGTCCAGTGTGATTTAGTATGTAAGTGTGTTTCATTGTGGTTAAACTGACCAGGTGTGTTTGTTTATATATAAAAAGTATATATTATTCAGTTACTGATTAGGTTCTTTTGTGCAGGGATTTTTCTAAATAGAAAAAAATGACAAACTCTGCCAGCGAAGTAGACAATATTATCACTTTATTATGTTCATTCTCTTCTCTCTCTCTTCGCTCTCTCTCTCTCTCTCTCTTTCTCTCTCTCTCTCTAACATTCTTTCTCTATCTTTCTCTCTCTCTCTCTCTCTCTCTCTCTCTCTCTCTCTCTCTCTCTCTCTCTCTCTCTCTCTCTCTCTCTCTCTCTCTCTCTCTCTCTCCTCTCATCTCCTCTTCTCTTCTCTACTTTTTTTTCCTTTTCTTTTCTTCTTTCCTTTCCTCTCCTCTCCTCTTACTTCTCATCATTTCTCTATCATTCGCTACATCCATTCATATGCAGATGCTTTGACCGCCTTTTCCTCTTTGTGATACTTAACAGAAAAAAAATATAGACAAAAGGTGAATTACAAAATTATTTAATTTCTTCAGAGTGACTTGCAAAATAGAATTAGTGCATATAAAATGAAAACATATAAATCCCCATCGTAAAGACTTTAACAAAATTACAAAAAAAAAAAAAAAATCCTTTTACGACCTAGAATGAATAACTTATCATTCACGAATAACTGACGGCTTGATAAATGTTGCAAATCAGTGAGAATAATCGCCTGCCTCCGTATCTATAATACTAATCAGGTTCAATCAATGTAGCAATAACTTCTTTTTTTTAGAAAATCTGGCTTGTTTACTCCACAGGAATTTTATCGGGTTTAAAAGGGGGGAAAAAAGTTTTCGTAGATCTTAACAGCCTTTAACAAATCGAACTTTCTCTGAGTTTGAAAATGAATAAATGAATAGATAATATGATAGATTAACTAAAGAAAATAATAAATCATCGTAGACTTTAACATTTTGTTAAATCGAACTCGATATTCCTAAAAAAAAAAAAATCTTTCTCGGGATTAGAAAATAAGAAAAAAATAACTTCCTAGATAAATAAATAAACAAAACATACAACGATAGATTCTTAACAACATCTGACAAATCCAACATCAGAATCTGCGCTAAAAAAAAAAAAAAAAAAAAAAAAAAAAAAAAAAAAAAAAAAAACTGTCATATGACCTCACTCTTGCGGGTCGAGCCACTTCTTGCTGCAACATTGAGCAACATCTTAATGCTTCTTGGCGTCCTGACCCTGGGACGGCCACTACAGGTCTTGGGCGATCCCTGGCTACTATTCGTCTATGTTGAGTTATGTTGGGTTTATGTTGTGCTATGTTTGCTTATGCTGGATCATGTTGGGTTATGCTGGGTTATGAGGGAAAGAGAGAGAAAGAGAAAAAGAAAGAGCGAGAGAGAGAGAGAGAGAGAGAGAGAGAGAGAGAGAGAGAGAGAGAGAGAGAGAGAGAGAGAGGGGGGGGGGGGGAGACATACATACAGACAGACAGAGACAGAGAGAAGAAAGACAGAGAGACAGACAGACAGAAAACCAAAGAAACGCACAACAAAACAAACAGACGGGTAGATCTGACGAAGAGACAAACAGAGTAAAAAAAAGTACATACTCTACAGATGTTTATATTTGTACTATATGTTTACACGTTGCTACTTACAACAGAAAAAGCCTTCCTCTCTAAGTAAAATAACACTTCACTACGCATTGTTTGTATTTACCAAGCGATTGAATTAAATAAACACTTAGTTATCCGTAGAGAAAAATGGAAACGCATCTCTGAACTTGACTTTTCGATCTTGGAACAAATATTTATCTTCTTCTTCCAACAACACTATGAATAGATGAAAATAAATAGATAGATAAATAAACAGATAGATGGAAAAGGGGGAGGGGGATAAGGAAAAATAAATAAAGAAAGAAGGGGGGAAAGAGAAAATTATTGAAGTAAAAAAAGGTGTAAAAGTGACGAAGCTTCATCACCGGCTCAAGCGACAGACTTTCCGCTTAGGCCTAAAAACTATAAAAAAAAACATTGGAAAAAACAACAGAAAAGGGTGAAAAAAAATCATAAAAAAACGAGAGGGAAAAAAATACGAAAAGTCATGACCACCACAAGCAACAGAATTCACACACACACACACTCAACGTCGGTCACTTTCTCAAAAGGTCCTCGTCTATTTTCACATGTTTGTCGCTCACTAGGTCAAACAAACCAATCTAGGTCGCGTGGTGTTGCTTGTGGCACCTCTGGCTTCCTGGTTCTCCGTCTGGTGGTTCTCCTGAGGCTACACGTCGGCCGGTGACTAGCTCTTAAAAATCTGTTCCTGCTTTTGTCATCCTGTGTCGGGTTTGCTGACAGGTTTGGTGTCAAAAGCTTCCAGGCTGACTTTGAGCGTCGATTCTGGGCTTGGTGGGGACGGTATTTTCGTTTGTTGTGTTTTTTTACTGCTCGCTTTTCGTTATTTAGTTTCGTGAGGTTAGTAAAAAAAAAAAAAGTGGGTGAAATGCTTTTAAGTTTCGTGTGGCAGCTTTGCGTGTTGATGTAATTCAAGTTTAGTCTTGGTTCACACATATTTTTCTGACTCCTTATCTTTTTTTCCAATTACATATTCCCCAAAAGAAAATAAGACAATTCAACCTTAATAATTACCAATTCTCGGCACGTCTCAATCCTGTCGTGGTCTCTTACCTGCAAAGAAAGAAAAAATAATAATTAATTGATTTCCACTTAAAAAAAAAAGAAACGTATTCCCTAACACAGATATTCGCACGTACAATGCTACCTGTGGTCTCGAACGCCAGTACCGACCACAAGGGCTGGAAGCGAATCGGCATGGGAAGAGAGGTAGCCAATAATAACTATGCAAATTAATTGTAGGGGAGATAGTGGCTGCCACGAACGGTAAGTGTGCGCGCCGTGTGTAGATTAGATTTTACGATGACAGCTCAGATGGACTTATCTCTACATCTCTCTGATACGCAATATAATTTGCATGTGTATACATTCCTGGCATTATGTAATTTTCCAAAGGCCCTTGACTGCAGTATGAATAAATAAATCTATAAACAATACGATGAATCCGCGGGCTAGGATCTAACAAGACAACTTTGATAAGAAAATGACTACCTGTCCTGCTGAGTTTGGTTTTAAAGACCCGACCAATTCCTTGGCCTAATGGAACACGCCGAGGGAGGGAGTGAAAGACCGGCTTCGCTAATGACCAAATGTCTCACTTCGGCCTCCAGGGCTTAAGGGACGAGTCCACTACTAATTACGCTCTTTAGGTCTTTGATGGCTGCTTGCTAATTAAGCTTGGCGTGTGCCTGCCTCTTCAGGATGCCCTGTTGCTTGCGTCAGAGGTTGGGGCAATTTTGTGTTCTGATTCATTTTCCTCTCTTTCTCTCCTTCTCTCTCTCTCTCTCTCTCTCTCTCTCTCTCTCTCTCTCTCTCTCTCTCTCTCTCTCTCTCTCTCTCTCTCTCTCTCTCTCTCTCTCTCTCTCTCCTCTCTCTCTCTCTCTCTCTCTCTCTCTCTCTCTCTCTCTCTCTCTCTCTCTCTCTCTCTCTCTCTCTTCTCTCTCTCTCTCTCTCTCTCTCTCTCTCTCTCTCTCTCTCTCTCTCTGCTTGAGCTCAGATTTTAGAAATACCTTCTTTACTCTTTCATGATTTACATTTCGATTCCTTTTCTCTATGAATCAGCGCATCTTGTCCATCATTAATTAACGCGTCTTGGTTCCGATCTAAATTGGAGAGGAAAGTCCGATGTATTTAAACGTTTCAGAAGTTTTGTGAAAGGTGTATACGGAGGGAAACTTTATAATGAGAGGGCTTCTCGACATGGAGGCAAGGCGAATCGCGAAACCTCTCGTGAGATCTGGAAGCGAGGAGGAGAGGGAACTTATAGAATTAGGTATTGAAGTTGAGAAAGTGAAGGAAAGACGTATGATGTATGTAAATGAAGGAAGAGGATGACTTAGAGACGATACTTCATCATCATCATTATCGTCGACGAAGGAGCAAGGGCGAAACGGAAAAAAAATTTAAAAAATACAATGACAATAAAAAGAGAACTGGAAAAGACGGATAGGGGTGAGGAGGGAGGGAGGGGAGGAGGGAAGGTGGGAGGGGGGAGGGGGGATCGAGTGACGTTCTGTTATGAAAGGATGGAGGAGGGAAAGTGGGAGGAAAAGGGGGGCAGGGGGTTATTTTGGCTTAGTGGGGGGGAAGGGGGGAGGGGAGGAGGTTGGGTGTAGGTATAGCACGACATAAAAGGTGGAAGCGAGGAAGGCCTGGCATGGAAAAGGGGGGGCAGAGGGGGGGAGGGGGCAAGAAATAGAAGCCATGGAAAGTGACGATGGAGGTCGGGGGGGGAGGGGAAAGGGAGGGGGCACAGTTACACGGGCATGGGAATAGGGGAAGCAGGGGCGCGAGGGGAGGTGGGGGGGGGGGGTCAGCAGCGGACCTGGAGCTGCGTCAGCGGAGGAAGTTCGCGTCCTGCAACCTGCAAAACTTTCACTCTCACTCTCCACCGGGTGCTGCGCGCGGAATAATCCCCTTTACGACCTCGGTGTCATAAGGACCAGATTCCCTTGCCCTCTGCCCGACGACCTGCTTGTCGCGTCCGAGACTGTGGGCTGATATGTTAGAAAGTTTGTGTACATGCTAAAGCAGCGGCGGTCAGTTGCATGAGGGGGGGAGGGGAGGGGGAGAGGAGGGGAGAAGGGGAGGGGGGGAGGAGGGGAGAAGGGGAGGGGGGGAAGGGGAGGGAGGAAATTCTTTTTATCCTCAGCGAAAGGAATGCGCGGGGGGGAAAAAAAACTGTCTTACGGTCTCATGTTGCTAGCTACTTCCATGACTTTCCCTTTCTCTTCCACCTTCTTCTTCTTCTTACTCTCTCTCTTTCTCTTTCTCTCTCCTTCTCTCTCTCTCTCTCTCTCTCTCTCTCTCTCTCTCTCTCTCTCTCTCTCTCTCTCTCTCTCTCTCTCTCTCTCTCTTCTTCTTTTCTCTTTCTCCCTCTCTTTTTTCTTTCTTTTTCTCTTTCTCTCTCTTTTTCTCTTTCTTTCTCTCTTTCTCTCTCTCTTTTTCTCTTTCTTTCCCTCTTTCTCTCTCTCTCTCTCTTTCTCTTTCCCTTTCAGTTTCTCTTTCTCTCTTTCTCTTTCTCTTTATCTTTCTCTTCCTCTTTCTCTCTCTTTCTCTCTCTCTTTTCTTTTTCTCTTTCTCTTTCTCTCTCTCTTTCTCTTTCTCTTTCTCTTTCTCTTTCTCTTTCTCTTTCTCTTTCTCTTTCTCTTTCTCTTTCTCTTTCTCTCTCTCTTTCTCTTTCTCTCTCTCTCTCTCCTTCGTCTAGTAGCACAGCCACCTCCAACTCCCATAAATACCACAGACCTGTATCTAATCCCATATTGCATACCTGTACGTGAATATGTTTTTATTTTCTCATTATCAGCTGCATCAAACTATACGTATGTGTCCTGTTTTTATCTAAGATTATCAATTTGTACGTGCACATTTTTTCTTTTTATATATATAAGATTACGTGCCCCACCAACTCGTATAAATGTGTTTTTTTATTTAAGATTTTCGGAGCTGCACATGTGTGTCCGTATGCTTGTGTTTTTTGTTTAAGAGTACGGACGCGTACATATGTGTGCGTTTATCTAAGAATATCAATAAGCGTAAGTGTGTGCGTTATAGCTAGGAGTACAGACGTGACCGTATGTGCGCGTTTTTTTCCTAGAAATATCAACGTGTGCGTATGTGTGCGTTTCTGCAGAAGTATAGGCTATGCATGTGTCCGTTTTTTTATCAATGCATATATATGTGAGCGTTTTTCTAACGACACCACCGCTTACGCACATGTGTGCAGTATTATCTAAGACTAACAACCTAAATATATAAATATATAAATCCATGTCCGTTTTTTTCTATTCTGGGAGAAAGGGGAAAAGAGAGAAAGGAAGAAAGAGAAAGGGATTAAAAGGAGAAAAGGGAAAAAGAGAAAAAGGAAGAAAAGGGGAAAGGAAGGAAAGGAGGAAAGGGAAAAGGGAGAAAGAAAGAAAAGGAGAAAGGGAGAAAGGGCGAAAGGAATAAGCGAGAAAAGGAAAAAAGCAAGAAAGGGGAAAAGAGAGAGAGGCACACATAACGCCCTCTGCAGATCCTCTCACACGACCGAGCTAGACTTCATGATAGAAACGTTTATCGCGGTCAGAGAAATTGCTTCTACTCTCGGGTTGGGGGGGGGGGGGGGCTGATTTTTTTTCTTCTTATTCTTCTACTTATTCCTTTTCTTCTATTTCTTCATGTTTTTTCTTCTTCTTCTCTTTTTTCTTCTTTTTCTTCTTTTTCTTCATCTTCTTCTCCTTCTTCTTCTTCATCTTCCTCTTCTTCTTCTTCTTCTTCTTCTTCTTCTTCTTCTTCCTCTTCTTCTTCTTCTTCTTCTTCTTCTTCTTCTTCTTCTTCTTCTTCTTCCTCTTCTTCTTCTTCTTCATCTTCTTCTTTTTCTTCTTCTTCTTCTTCTTCTTCCTCTTCTTCTTCTTCTTCTTCTTCTTCTTCTTCTTCTTCTTCCTGTTCTTTCTGTTTTGCAAAAGTTTGTTTCTTTCTTTCTTTCTTTAACATAGGTTTCTTAGCAGAGGTTAATAGGAATTATTATTAAAAATCCATTATACGAAGACAAAAAAAAAGATTATTGTTTAGGAGACATTAGAACATCAGATATTCATTCCCATCAATAAAGGAATAAAGACAATAATAAAGACAATCTTAATCACCATTATAGAACTGAACACAATATATCGACGAAAAAACGAAAAAAATATATATATTCACTTCCTTAGCACAAGATTACGCCACCGATCGTTAACCAAGAGAGAAAAATATTCAAATATCAAACAAAAAAACGTCACTCCCTCTCTTCGTAAGGAACAGAACGCAAAATCAGATAAAGACGGATGAAAAAGGAAGACAGGTAAAGGCATTCGAATTCCACGCAAAACCAAATCTACAGGTTTTTCTCTTTCCGCCCGAATGAACAACGAAGAAATTTAAAAAAAAACATAAATTAAGTCCAAGGAATTCAAATCAGTATAGAGCGCGTGAAAAAAAAAGAAAAAAGACAGATCTAAAATTGCCTAAAAAGTTTGATAAGTTGAGACTCGAATGCTTTGAGAATTTGAAGATCGGAATGCGCGGGACAACTTCGCGTCGCTTGGCCAGAGAAAGTGATACTGGAGTCTAATTTCACCTCTCGATGGAATGCGCCTCGCTGGTTCTTTAGATATAAAAAGACGTTTGAAAATGGCCAGGAAAAAAGAAAAAGTTTATCACCTTTCGCTCTTTCTCTCTGTCTGTCTGTCTGTTTGTCTGTCTGTCTGTTTCTCTCTTTCTTTCTCTCTCTCTCTCTCTCTCTCTCTCTCTCTCTCTCTCTCTCTCTCTCTCTCTCTCTCTCTCTCTCTCTCTCTCTCTCTCTCTCTCTCTCTCACACTCACTCATCCTCACTCACTCTCTCTCTCTCTCTCTCTCTCTCTCTCTCTCTCTCTCTCTCTCTCTCTCTCTCTGTCTCTGTCTCTCTCTCTCTCTCTTTCTCTCACTCTCATTCTCTCCCTCTCCCTCTTCCTCTCCCTCTCCCTCTCCCCCTCCCACTCTCTCTCTCTCTCTCTCTCTCTCTCTCTCTCTCTCTCTCTCTCTCTCTCTCTCTCTCTCTCTCTCTCTCTCTCTCTCTCTCTCTCTATCCATCTATCTATCTATCTATCTCTCCTATCACTCTCTATTTCAAACCCTTATCATATGCTAATCAGTTATCTGCCAATCGTTCTAGACGAGGTAAAAGCTAAGATTAAAAACA